AACTTGAAGCACGAACAGACGGTTTCAATGCAAAGGGTGCATTGAGTTTAATCTCAGTAGCTCCGCAATTGTATGGGTTTGTTTCACTCCTTCCTATATCGAGCCATGCTCTGCGCCTGTCTGGCCTTTCTTGGCGTACGTTCACCTACATTTCGTTGTTCAGCACACATTGGACATCGTGACAGTTTTATGAGCGTCTGCCTTAGTGCTAAAACTACTGGCCTTAAAGGAGTAGTATTGAATAGTAGCAGGAAATTGAGGGAGCGGTAAATGAGGTTTCGATTTATTGCAACGAGCATGATAAAAGTTTGAAGTTCAGCTTTGTCTGCTGCTATAAAATTCTTATTCTTATAAAGTTGTTAAAAAGAAAAATTGAACAAAACATAAGCTAATGTTGCTGTTTGAAAAACGGTGCTCTCATACGCAACACACGGGTCACCTCTGAACAGAACTTGACGTCAAGTTGAGAAAAACGTATCCATATCTCACTTTCCAAATGATTGAATTCTCGTGGCTGATTCTAAAATATAGCGCTTTCGTTTGAGACCAGTTAAGAGAAATTCACCCACCTGCACGAAGTCAATGACTATGAGGGGGCGAAGATTGGTTCTAAGATCCATTGTCTTTACGCAGAGGTGGCCGTTCAGTATAAAGGACGTACAGATGGACAGACGGATGGAAGGACTCCCGGATGAAGGCACGGATGAACGAATGGGCAGACGAATGGCGCAAGGTGATCATGTACTGTGCTGTCATATACCTGGTTGGTGTATACATAGAACTTATTTTTCACAAACATATTTTCCTTTTTTTGTGCAGGTGTTCAGTATCGGTTTCGGTTTTGTGTTGCACGACGGACGTCAGCCAAGGCTAGTTCCTAAAAAGCTTTGCCGCTAAAGAAAGTGTGACAACTCTGCTGTGGTGAATCCTGAAAAATTGTGTCATACGAGCCCAGTGACTCCTGTTCGTTAAGGTCCCACTAGTCTTTAACCTAGTCTTTAACAAAGAGACGATGACGCCAATGTTTCCGGTAAGCATGTTAAGTTTTCCCGCCCCATGTAATACCTTGTAATGAAAATTCGCAAGCTCAGTGTGCGACATATGACTTCCTGCTTCTTACGGCACCTGAGATGCGGTTCGTCGCGGCGAGTCCCTTCATGTTGTTTGACCATTCAGATGCACCTACATAATGCCGGCGAATAACAGGGGGGAAGAGGGGGCTAGCACCATATCTATCGTCGAGCCATAGTCAGCCGCATGTTTCCAAAACGTTTTAGGAGAACAGCTCCTTAGGCCTAGGCGTGTGGTTATCTGTGTTAATCATATTATTTTAGACTATTGTTTTGGACTTTATTTATTTTAACCCGACTTTGAGTATCGCAATCTCTTGTCCTATGTCCTGCAGTGCGCGCTGTACTGCGAGCGTGGTCACTCCACATGATATGCATGAGCAAACAATTCGGGGCCCTAAAGTGCTCTGCACTTAAGAATATGATACGAAAATGATCATTTGCGGTCTGCGCCTCTTGCGGGCAGGGTTTTTGAGACCCCTGTTCTGGAGCAGTCTGTTTTTATAGCGATAGCAATAACTTGGACCCTCTCGGCTGCTATTTGCCGTCCCAATCGCCGTAACCATCATATCTAGGATATGTAAATGTAAATTAAAGAACCTGAATAGATGAAACATCACGTGTAGCAGTGTTGTACCAAATTACTTCTCAGTTCCATGATTAGCAGATGTCGTGCTAGTCGGTTGTTCATCATAACAAAACCAACACAGCACAATCGTTATCCACAAAACCTCGTGCTCCTTGCGTCTGCCTTGGTCAAGTGTACGCGTTCGCTACATTATCCTCGCGGTGTATTTTGACGATACGCCCTTTTAGGAGCTTGCTCCTTTTGCTGGGAGATCGTCTCTCGTTGTCGCGCCGGTGTGTACGCTAGTGCTCATTGCTCCCGCTAGAGGCGCAGTTGTGCTCTTCGTGTCATGAACGCTCACTAAATAGCGCGCCCCCGCTGAGGCGACGCTCGCCTCACTCTCGGTGCGTGCTCTAGTTTTGTAGGTCCACTAGGTGGCCGCGCTCATACATATAGAGCTCACACTCGGCAGGACATCACTCAGTGCGCGTCGATACCGCTGCCCACTATGAACACCGCAGAAGCCAAGGTGGCGGCCCGGAGGGCTCGCAATGCGGCGGCAGCACGGTCTCGTCGTTAAGGCCTATCTCGAACTTTCCACTACATCCTATTATTCACGATCTTCTGGCTTCGTACCTTGAAGATCATAAACATATTATACTAAAAAGAAAACGTTCCTCTGAGCTTATGTGATCCGTAAATAAGCTCTTGAACAAAATGTATATACTGAATCAGTATATATGCAAATATTTGTATGTAGTACATTGACATGTAAATAATAAACATTGTGTATAGAACGTGTACACAAAATCACGCCACAACAACTCTCGTGTCACGTCTTTATATGACGATGATTAAGAAAATGTACAGAGGTTTTACGGTTTACCGGATTTAACCTCTGGAGCGAGCCCCTTCATCTACATTGACGTCGTGGATATGCGGGAATTTTTTTCATCCTGTCTCGATTTCAGATTATAGCACTGTGCATCACCGCACCACTGCGAAGATACCTTGCTTTTTTGTATAGACTTATAATGATTTGTAAGGAGCATGACTAGACGTTCCATGTAAACACGTCACGTGCGAGCAGTTTTGTCAGAGTTTTTTGTAGCCGTGCTTTAGGCGACACGCCTATACGGCCACAAAAACAGCGCTCGGTGCTAATGAGCATCTCGAATGATATGCCAGGCTCAGAATAATCATTGAAGTCGTCATGCGCGGTATCGCATACTTCCCTGACACAATGGATTTCCTTCACATGTTTCGCATCCACGAGGAAGAGCCTCTTGAATTTCTTAATAATCACATGCTCATTATTTGCTCAGGTCCTTCATGGCAGCTCTCATGCGCAGCAACGACAACATACACGAACTCTAACGTTGCGTCTACTACAAATTCTTCAACAATTTCAAAGTGTGCCCGTGTTTACAAAGCTTCATGTTTAGTATTTGTTCTGAGGCCATGCTGAGGTCATATCAGCCCGTTCCAAGTTCATTTGTCTAAAGAAAATTTATTCTCACTAATGAGCCCTTGTCGTGCCCAAATAAGAACTGTAATAAGTAAGCGAGTAGCGCATTCCAAAGGCCGGAGTGAACTGGGACGTTCGATATTCAATAAGCCAACGAAACAAAGAAGAGTTGCGGGAGGTTGTATTGCAAATGCAAAAGTCAGGCCGTATCTGTTTAGCTAGAATAGAAGCTAGACGCTGAGAGCAAGCACATGTTTTGAATACTACGCGCTTAAGAAGCGTTAAAAATCGTCACCCAATTCGTGCGTTGATGTCGCCCTCTGTGAGAGTCACCGAATGTTTTCTTTTTTTTAACTTCCCGAAGTATAGGCCTTCTTTCTCGCAGAGGAAAAAGAGCGTTTATTTGTTGCGATGTTCGGACTTCTCGCGGATGAAGCTGCTCGATCGACTCACGACCAAGACCAGCGCATGCCTATACCACTCTTGAGAACGGACGTTGCAAGGCTACTACAATCACTTGCTCGCCGTATATCTCTCCTACAATGGAATACGCAGGGTTTCTCCAACACGCACCTGTATTCGATCGACCCAAACTTGAAACTTCGTTTGCCATCCGGGCTCCCACAATGCGCTGAAACTTCACTGTGTCACATGAGGTTGGGCGTGGCATTTACGAATTCGTACTCTCGTCTCCTTGAAATGTTGAGCACTTCGGCATGCAACATCTGCGCCTGCGAGGAAACGCTTGAGCACATTCTATGCCATTGCCCAGCATACCAGACCGAACGACGTATTATGGAAGCCAAGCTCTGTCAGCTGGATTCACGGCTGCTTACAGAAGAGAAGATCCTGGGACCTTGGCCGACGTCTTCCCATACGCGCAAAGCCACGAAAGCCCTCTTGTACTTTTTTAAGGACCACAAGACTTCACGACCGCTTGTGAAAGAACTGTGCGAGACCGTGCTATGTAGTCTCGAGCTGACTATTCATGGTTCTCTTTCTTACTCCTCTTCTTTTCTATCTCTTTCCGTTCTATTATTCTCCTTTTCCCCCACCCCAAGTGTAGGGTAGCCAACCGAGCCAAGCTTGGTTAACCTCCCTGCCTTTCCTCTCTATTTATGTCTCCCTCTCTCTCTCGGACTTTTAAAAAAAATCTACCCAATAAACGCATGAACAGTATGTCTTAATCGCAAGATTTTCTTTTAATTAATTCGAGGGTAAAATAAATCGGCAATCACGTTGTTGAAAACAAAGCGAAGCGCCATGTGGCTTGCGTCAAAGCTTCCTGCTTTATTGTACACGCTATTTGACGTTGCTGCTTGCGTACTTAGAATAAAGCTTTCATTCACTTCACGTGTGTTTCATCTCCTGGTTTTTGTGTTTGAATGTGTCACACTCCTACAGTGCCTCCGGCATTTCGATGGCATGCTAGAAAGCAAACATCCGCAGCACCTGCGAAACACTTCTGCTATTTTCTGTTATAGCTCGAAGCCTTGACCGAAAACATCGAGTGAAATATCGATTCTCTCTAGTTCTGAGTCGCAAAATTCCCTCAAAAGTTGGAACGTGCTTCAGAAGCACGAAGCAAGAGGGTAAAAATGGTCAACGTAAGGATTGCCTTCTTCGATTGATTCAAGTAGGAAATACACTAAATTTGAAAAGTGCTGTATTTGATTATTATCTTCTTATATATGAAAATTTTCTCTTTTTTTCCCGGAAGACTGCCATTCGCCGTGACCCAAGTATTCCATTAAAAAGGAATGAGTATCCAATCATAAGCATCAAATTTTGTGACGATATGCCCCGAGCATATTCGCATCTTTGACTTTGCGAGCCATATACAACGTGCTCAGCGCAGTAGTTCCCGCTTCACTGAACTTTATAATACACTCACGTCTACGTAGACTCCCGACAGCCTGTAGGCCTGGCCCGGTGGGTTCTCGCTGGGAAGAAAACGGAAGAACTCGCGGTGATTCTTGTACCACTTGACCGAGTACAGGTCGTCAGACTCGAGGTCGAACGAGCAGTTGAGCCACAGGGGGTCACCCCTGATCACCGCGCTGGGCATGTCCAGCCGCACCAGCCGCAGACACTCGCACAGACCTGCAGCAGCGGGAAAAGAGAAGACGTGGTCCGATCACGCTTAACACGTTGAGCCCTTGATGCTGAATAAAAAACATGGAATAACTGTATTAGCAGGAAGGAAGGAAAATAGAGGGAAAAGAAAGGCAAGAAGGTTAACCAGCTTATAGGCAGCCGGTTTGCTACCCTGCGCATGGGAGAGGGATGGGGGAGATGAAAGAGAGCGGAGAGGGAAGATAGAAACAGCACATTCGGCAGCACCACGTGTACACTCAGTCATAGTCCAGTCTTGTCTTTCGCGGTGTGAGACATTGCTGTTACAGTCGCTTGTTCAAGTCGGTGTCGCGTAGGAATTTCAACAGAGCCTTCGTCGCCTTCTGTTGCAAGGTCTTCTCTCGGGCACTTGACAGAATAGTGTCCACAGACATTTGGCTGTTGTCGATGCGCGCAAAAGCAGACGCCAGTGACTGTCTCTGGATTTCATACAATGGACAGTCACACAGGATGTGGTGTAGCGTCTCTTCGCAATGACAGGCATCGCAGAGAGCGTTGTCGGCCATTCCTATGACAAAGGAGTAAGATTTTGTAAATGCCACTTCTAGCCATAAGCGATGAAGAAGGGTGGCTTCTCTTCGGTCGAGTCCAGAGGGCATGCGGAGAGCGATCAAAGAGGACAGGTGGTGTTGACGATTCGTATCGATGCTTGGTGGGCACCATAGTGAAAACGTGATTTCACGCGCAAGTCGTCGAAGATTACTGGCAGCATCAATCCTCGAAAGTGGTGTGGCTTCTTCTCGTGTTCCTTCAAGGGCTGCCCGCACGGCAGTATCGGCATGTTCGTTCCCTATGATGCCGCAGTGACTTGGCAGCCATTGAAGCGTCACATGATGCCCTTTCACGAGTAAAGTGTGGAGAAGGCATCGAGTTTCGAAAACAAGCTGTTCGTACGGGCCACGACGCAGTGCTGAGAGCACTGATTGTAGGGCAGCCCTTGAGTCGCTGAAAATCGACCATTGTTGCGGTGGTTCTCGATTGACCACACAAAGTGCAGCGCGCAAAGCGGCTAGTTCCGCTGCTGTAGATTGCGTGGAGTGGTCAGTCCTAAAGCTGATGGTAACACCTCTTGCTGGGATAACTACTGCCCCTGACGAACACTGGTGGTTCGTGGAACCATCGGTGTATACATGTATGCTGTCTGAATATTTCTCGTGCAAAAGAATGAGAGACAGTTGTTTCAGCACGGGCGACGAAAACTCAGATTTCCTCCGGATCCCTGGTACACTAAGATGCACTGTGGGTCGAACAAGACACCAAGGTGGTATGGATGGTTTAGATGCATGAGTGAAGCCCAAGGGAAGTTTATCGTTGTATTTCACGATAATTTTGGCGAACGATGCTTGGCGCCTCTCTGAAGGCAACAGTGCAAGGTGATGGCCGGGGGCACGTGCGAAGTGTCGGATGTGCGTTCTCAGGACTTCTACAACAATGTGAGTTTGTATCGGATAGTCACCAGCAATTGCAATTGTTGCTTCTGTTGACGTACATCTGGGCAGACCGAGGCATCCCTCAGCGCTTGGGCTTGTACTGCCTGTAAAACACGAACATTGGTCTTGCAGGTATTGCTAAGCACGGGCAAGCTATATCTGAGGAAACCGAGAAACAGGGCCCTGTAGAGCTCTATCATTGCGTCTACTGACATCCCCCACGTCTTTCCTGCCAGGAACTTGAACAGTTGAGAAATAGCGGTCAGGCGCTTCTTCATATAGGTCACATGCGGACTCCAACAGAGGTCCCTATCAATAATGATGCCCAGAAACCGGTGGGTTTTGGCGTAAGAAATTGGTCGCCCGCAGATTGAGATGACATAAGGAGTCATTGCTTTGCGAGTGAAAGCCACCAGCGCGCATTTTTCTGGTGATATGCTGAGACCTTGTTTGAACAAGTAGTTGGCAATCATAGTTGCTGCTTTTTGAAGCCGGGAACTCTTTTTGAAGCCGGGAACGCTTTTGAAGCCGGGGAACTTTTTGAATCTGAGGACGTGTGACTGCCGATGTCCAGACACAGATGTCGTCTGCGTATATTGAGATTTTAATGGTGCTTGGCAAGTATTCAGCAAGGCCAATTAGTGCAAGATTGAATAGCAGAGCTGTATTAGCAGAGTCCGATAAGTGGATAACACCTAAGAGTCACACAGTATTAAAAATCCATCTTGTGGATGTCAAATGAATAAATTACATTTGACGTACAAAGCCGTACTAGTGGATGAATACAAGTTTATTCGACATCCGCCAACGTTTTACGTGACCTGGGCTGAGGTATCTCGCGGGGGAATGATGCAGATGAAAAATCCAGAATCATGCTTCTAGCATTCTGTTGTGTTTCTTAGGCATGCACAAATATGAGTGATGTATACTATAATTTATAAGACGTTGCTATTTAATCTAAATTCGATTCAAAAATTCATCTTGCATAATTGACGCCTCGTTGTCGAACATGAACATCACAAATTTAGATAAAAAAATTGCTTACACTGTCATGCTGGTTATGATGTAGTTATGATAGCGCACGCCTTGTCCATTCCCTCTGACGGGGAGATTGTCCCAATTTACTAGTATTTATTGTTAGATTTTCTCTATTATCTCTGTCAGTTCGAATATGAAGAACAGTAGCGCTTGTATAAGAAGGTCATTTGGGCCGCATGCGTGGTCTCATACTCTAAAGGAAGGCTGTTAGTGATGAAAATGATAAATAAAAGAAATGCATAGGTATTGAAAACGTAACTTTTCGCACAGAGCATGCAAGACGCAAGAAGAATGATAATTTTGGTAACGTTGCATTCTCGAAGGTGCAGCTCTATGTCTAAGACTTTATATACTCAAAAAAAACATTGACCGCCATTCAATGAAATTCGTTCGCAAGGTGCCAAAAAAGCACATAAGCAGTCATGGATAGCAACTACAACCAATTCCCGAAAGTGAAGTTGGAACGACAAGTTTGCATCATTATAACTAATGGTGTGAATGAATTTTTCACTGATCGACGAGTGAAGCACGAAAGAGTTGCCAGTCCACCAATGTCTAAATTTTTCAACATCACACGAGCTGGTTTTCCGTTCACAACGTAGTTAAGCCACCACACTAAGCATCACTACAAAATTATAACCTGTTATGTTGTATGCTCAGAAGTAACATACGAGAATACGTTTAGCCCAGGCCCGACGCTCTTTTAATGAATTAAACTTGTCTAGCAACAATACGGCCTGCCTAATTACGCTATTGGACCGTACTTTCGTGATAATATTAGATAATAAATACTTAATGATAATAGCTTTTGGGGTTTGGCACCTTAAAACCGTGATATAAAAAAATGACTGTGTAAAGGAATGCTCTGAAAACTTCGACCACTTGTGTTTATTTAACATCCACCTAAATGCAGGTACACGGATTTCTATCGTTTCGCCTCCATTGAAATTCGGCAGCCGCAACTAGGATTCACTCTCCCTACCCTCGGGTTAGGAGTGAAACTACCTATTAGTACTCAGCAACGGGTTTATTAAATACCCAGAATTTCTAAGAGCCCACTATCATTGACCCATATTGTTTGCTATTTTGTTTCCTTACAGTGCAAAAAAAGTTAGCGTTCAAGTGTAATTATTCAGACAAGTTTTTTGCCCAGCCGAACAGAGAAGTAGCATTAAGTAGGCCGTGCATATACTTATGAACAACCTGATCAATGAAGTCACTGAAAATGTATCAAACGAAATTGCCCAACTACACTTCATTATCTTGGAGTGCACCTTTTATATCAAACGAAATTGCCCAACTACACTTCATTATCTTGGAGTGCACCTTTTACAAGTCGTACTGGCATAAGAATTCTATAAATAGGTTACCAGAGAAAAAATCACAGCATATCCACGGAGTTAATGATGATGAGAGGGCTAAGCATTCATCCGCCCATCCGTCCATGTGTCCGCCCGTCCGTGCACGCGTCCATGCGTCCGATCACGTTCGAAAATGCAGACGGCGCGTCGGTATCACCGACGAGACGCGAGCCAAGAAAACCCAGCAGCACAAGCATCTTCAACGCGCCCGCCGCTCTGCTTCGTCCATGTCCCATCAACGATCCGCCACGAACGGTGACTATCCAGGAGACTGAGAGAGGCAATCGTTCTCCGCGCACTCAGGCAAAGCACGCGCAGCAGCGAATTGAAGAGTAGCGGCACTTCGGAGAGTAGCGGCAGAGTAACGCCATCTAAAAAATGAAACGAGAAATGGCCATCCATTTCTTTTGCCTTCTTTTCTTTCTCGTCTCTACTTCTCTGCGTTACGCGTGACGCGTGACAAGGTTAGACTAAGAGGAGCTTCGCCCCTAAAATACCGCCCAGCTGAAATCGGTGAACCAGGCGATAAGTCCAGGAAATACGCTGTCATGCCTAATGTACACCAGCTGTTACATCTGTTTAAGAAGATACTAAAAGTTTTTACGTTGACGTTCTCTTTTCTTCGAACCAAAAAGTTGAAAAAACCTTGTTCTGGGGGTGAAGAGAGAGCCAGAGCAACAATGGGTGTAGGTTGCACGGGGAAACATCACAATGCCACCGTTTCCTGCTCCGTTGGTGTGACCTGCAGAATCCCATTTTCCCGTGGAAAGGTGTATATAGGCTAGTCCGGCAAATGCGCCCACGAAATACTTTGCCAGCACAATAATACTTTAAAGAGAACGCCGATTTGACAACTTTCGGCTCATTGCAGATCATGTCGATGCAAATGGTTTTTTCAGACCCACTAATATTTTACTCAACCAGACTCACTCGTACTCAGACTCGCGAGAATATTACCCAGCAGGACCCACCTAGACTCACACTCAATGTTCGATCTGAGTCTGAGTGAGTCTAAGGGAGTCGGCTAATGAGTGAGTCTGCTGACCTATGCTCAAGACACAAGTTCTTGCGGTTGGAAATCAAGGCAAATGACCTGACGTAATCTAGTTGATCGTGGAACTCTTATGCAACTGTGTGT